TTAGGATTTTTTTATTTCAAACTATATTTTAGGGTATGCGACGGAATTTCGATTACCAGTAATATTGTTGCACTCATATGTATGAAATACTATTTCGCTTGAAATTTTAAACTTCTGGTGAGTTTTTGGGTGCTGAGATTTTTTGGATATGATATTCTTGCTTCAGAATGTCGAGACGAAGAAACGAACAATTTTATGTATGAGATTGGAAACACACACAGTTTGAGAAAAAATATAAATTTTTATAAAAATCTTCTCCTGCAGCTACTTTTGGCAAAGATTATCAAAAAAAAAATTAAATATTATTAAATTTCTTGTTATTTAACAATAACTGTGGTAGAGATGTACTTCCCTGAGTTTTTGTGTAATTGAATTTAGTTGAAATATTTTTGTTTTCCTACATTAATTTTACAAATTAATTCAATAACGAATGAAAACAGAAATTTTAGGTGGTATTGAATCTTTAATAGAAGAGATGTACGTATATCGTTTGTAATAAAAATTAATAGTGAAGTTGAAACTTTATTATTCTTATTAAATCGAGCCTTTATTATATTTTACACGCTTACAGTTAAAAGCTGAATCATGAAGCTCATTCTTATTAGTAGGAATTTTATAAGGATTTTAGTTTGGATAATCATCAGGATTTACATTTTGACTTACACAATTCAAAATCACACTCCTGTTGAAAAAATTAGCACCAAAGGCAAAACAAACAATATACAAAGTATTAACACAACACTTCTTTGTAACATTAATGATTACAACATTTATATTTTAAAACATCTAACTACGAATATGGAGACAACTCTCGTTAAATTCAAAACATTAGAATACTCTTTCCAATTTCCAGACTCAGTATTGCAAAGTTACAAACGTTAAACAAGTAAAGTTATACTGAAAATAATACCGCCTGCATAAGTTTAATACTCAGTTTTCTATATCTCTCACCTAGAGTTGGGAGACTTCACACCTCAGCAATCGCGTTGCAGATCAAGTATTTCTGGTTTTTGATACCTCTTCCAGATCGAGTTGTTACAGTTCGTGTAACGGTTTCTGCAGGGTCTGCTACTCATGCCTGGGATACTCCAGAATGAGACATTTGCTTTCTTTGCCTTTTAGCTTGAACATCCTTAGCCATTTCACAAGTACCTCTAACGGAAAGATTACCTCTAACGGAAAAAAACGTTGTATCATTCTCATTATTTTTCCATGAGCTGCTCGAAGTTTCAGGAGTCTGGTGAATTTTTCTTTTTCCATATAAGATCCAGAAACGTTCCATCAGAAAATTAAGTGACATTTGAGTCCCCACATGTTCATGCCTTTTATGAAAAGAAAATGTTAAAATTTTTAAAGGGGAATTACTCTTTATACATTCGTTCCTTTTCTTTTAGCGTTTGTTGTTTATTTTTTGAGCACGAATGTAGGTTAGGTTGACCGCTTTGTGGCGAAGTGGCTAACGCATCGCGGAGCTGCACCACAGGTCCAGGGTTCGATCTTCGGGCTGCAAGGTTGACTTAGCCTTTCATCCCTTGAGTGGGTCGATAAAATGAATACCAAGTTCGCTTGGAGAATAAACACCGGGGGTCCTGCGACAAACTGACTACTTGCCCAGGGCATAGGCTGATGCACTCCGGGGTCCAAGGTCAAGAAAGCAGATTTCGGGAACTGCAGGCCATGGTCCACTTAGGGCTGTTGCGCCACTGAGTTTAGTTTTAATTTAGTAGGTTAGATTAGGTGAGGTTAACTGATTAAGGCAAAGCAACTCAAGGACTATGTGAACGGAAACCTAACTCTGAACTGAAATCTGAGAACTGATGCTCTCTTCGAGCTTACATAGTTTTCCCCCGGCTACCGAGAAACTTCTAGTACCTCCCATTTCTCGAAATTACTGGAAGTTATATGCTGTCAAAGTTACATATAAAGGCCTGCTATGGTTACAGTTACATACAGGGATCAATTACAATTATTCAATTACGGTAGCAGTTACTTATATACAGAGGCCAAAGTAAAATGTCGACAAATAGTCGTCAAATTTGGCGACTTTGCGCGATTTCTCACAAAAGCTTTCGCTAGCTTGGCGATATCTCGCCAGTTCAGCAAGCTAACCATTTACCTGAAGCTTAAATAAGACTTGATCCTGTAATTTTATTTTTTCAGTAAAGTTTCCTTTCTTAAGTCATTGTACGTTACACTATACAAGAGACACCAAAATTTTACGTATAATCTCATTAAAATTATTCACGTGCAGACATATGTTAGTTTTATTGGTGAATTTGCGACCGCTGTATAATGTCACATGACCTATTTATGTTAGCGAAACTGAGGTACCTGCATTTCAGAGCTTCTGTTCAAATTGTTGGTATATGCAGGCTATCATTCCGTATAATGTGACATTGTACACGCTTGCTATTGACATTTTTTCCCTACCCTAAAGCTCATCTCTAAGCGTGCTGCATCAATCTCATATGAATGAACATAGTCATTTTATTGCAGATAGACATCATATTTTCGCAGCTTTAGTTTTATGCTATAAAAAATTATTTTGGTGTTTAAGGACTTCACTATACATTTTGCATACACATATTATTAGTATTATATAATTTATGAAGCATATTTAAGTAAGTTTTTTATTATTTTTCTAATTGCTTTCTTTGTTTAGCCTTTTCTAATTAGCTTCTATGGGTCAATCTTCTATTTTATTTCCGACCGCCGAGAAATTTCTAGCACCTTCGATTTCTCAAAACTGCTGGAAGGCATATAAAATTACAGTTATACATAGGGCCGGATACAGTTAGAGTTACGCAGGAATTAGACCAATTACATTTACACAGGGGCAGAACAAAAATGTCCCCGAATGTCCAAGTTTGGCGAATTTTGGCAATAAAAATTAGTCTCCGAAACCATCGTCATCCTGGCGATATCTCACCAATTTGGTAAGGTAGCGATTTATCTCAATGTTAAATGGACTTGCTCCTGTAACATTATTTTCCCGGCGGAGCTTCTCATTTTTGAGGCATTCCATGTCACATTGTTCAAGAGATACTACAATTTATATATGGTTTCACTAAAATCATTTACATATATACAAAATTCGTAAGAATATTGATTTAACATATTTTAGATTAGCTGCTGTTGACTGTAGTTAATTTTAGCTGTTGTTAATTTTAGATTAGCTGCTGACATTTAAGACTATAGTGTTATCTTCTTAAATTATTAGGTTGAGAAGGCAGTTTTGCGGGTAAGTGGCTTAAAATTAATTTATTTCAGTTATACTGTAATAAAAAAGAACTTATTTTTTAAGTTGCAGTTTATTTTTAATTTATTGTAAATATGTAATGTTAAATTAGCATGTTTCTTTTACCATTATCTTTTACCAGCTAAAAGTTCTTTACATTGTTATCCTGTTAGGTAAAAAGCCCAAGCATGGTTTAAACATATTATAGCTTATTACGAGGTAAACTGCTTACGCTGTTTAGCAATCAATAAAAGAAGAAGTTCAGTGTGATAATTAGCAAAATAATCTGGATTGCAGTTTCCCTGGAACTCAGACCAACTATACTGATTCATATTTTCATTTTATTTTTCTGAGTTTCTTTGAGATATTAATGATGTGAACTCAGTTAATTTGTATTAAGTATTGCCAAAAGCGACTACTGACCAAGTAGCACTTTAAGCAGGATAAGAGTTAGAAGTACTGAATTTACTGGTCTAAGCTAAGCCTTAAGGTCCGCCAACGACCGAGCGGTAAAAGCCGATGAACACTGGTAGTTCGGTCTAGGGTTGGAATCCCGGCGAACATGGGCGTTTTCGTGGTTTTCCCCTTGTATAACGAGCCAGTTGCCCTTAAAAAGACCTCCACGGGGCATCCCTCCCTTTCCGTGTAGTGCCTAAGGGCGGAGCACGTAATAAGTAAAAAAAAAAAGGTAGGCCTAAAAAATGCAGCCATTTAAGCCATTTCTTCTTTCATAGTTCAATATGCAAAGACATAACAGTATTTTACAGATGTATGCTAATTTAAAATGTCAAATTACTAGAATCATAAAAACAGACAGACGACTTATCATCTTATCTTCCTTCAGCTTACTGTAATCACAAACACATATTTAAAAAGGTTTAAATAAAACCTTTTTATTCACACGTCAATCTTACGGCTACACAAAACTGACAAAATAAGAGAAATTCGATTTCTGCATATGGAAATTATAGAACAAACCTTCAACGCCAAATTCAAATATGAAATACAAATTAATACGTTCTAAATAAGCTGTATGTAGATCAGCATGAAGTATTCTCGGCTTGCCGAAACTAAAGCCATTAATCAATTCAAGAAACAGGAAGACTTTAACAGAGTAATGTTAACAGAGCTGACAAAAGCTCTTATTATTATTATTATTATTATTACTATTATTTGAGCTTTTAACTTTCTTCTAAATATCGTGTTGAAACTCACTAAACCATTTCTATTCTTGTGGATTACGGGATATTTGCTAAGCACTACTCTCCAAACAGTAGGCGTCCAATAAGAAATATTTCATAAGAAAAGAGCAAAAATATCCCATATTATAGTAGAAATTTTAAAGAATATTACATTGGCGTTGGTAGTTTAAAGCCAGGTTTTTCATAAAATCTTTTAAACAGAAATAGCACGAAAAATATATTTGCCTATTGATTTGTTGTGATATTTATTAATTAATGCTTTAAGAGTCTATGATTATTTTTGAACGAAATGATGTAATTTTTAACATTCAACAGGAAATTCATCAAATTAAATTACATTCTCAATAGAAAATTTAATACACTAAAATTCAATATAATAAATTCAAGAAACATAATGCAACAAACTTCTATCTTTTATCCTGTCCTTAAATTAACTGATATAAGATTCGAGAGACTAACGTTTATGAAATTAAGACTAATTTTTATTTTTTATAAAAGTATGCAAGTCTCAGATCAATTGATTGTTAAATAAATAAAGATGTACTGTTTACTTCACTTACTTTAATATAAGCCTTTAAGGAACCAACGCTGATCACTTTAAGTCCATAACCTTCCTCTGAGTCAAAAAACAGAGATTGGTTTGACAAACAGACAGAGTTGCTTGACATTGAGACTGCATCGACCAGATTCGAGTAATCAGCTGGTGTCCTATAGAAAGTTGGGTTCGTTTGACGAGGCATATTACCTAACCGTGAGAGAAAAAAACTTTTTATTTATGTCTCAGATATAGGATATAATGCATGGAGCTCAAGTTTAAATAAGGATGCATTTCTTATCATTTGACGACAACCAATTACATGCTCTTGCGACGTTGCTCATTTTGAGACTCATTTGAAAATATGTGATGCTCCACATAATTTTCACGCTAATTTCAACTTAAAAATCTCAATTAATTAAAACCACGGGAAACACAAATAGTTGTATCTTAGGTTTAGTTACGAGCCTCTGACGCAAACGTTAGCTGAACAGCATTTCTCTGGTTTTTCTTATCCAAACTCATGCGGACGTATTTTAATACCTAAGATAAATCTCTAAATTTAGCCCCTAAATGCACTATTTTATAATTTTCCCATTTTATTTATCACATTTTAATTTTCCAACCCTCTCATTTTTACTTGCGATAAAGGCCTCCTTCATCATCTCACAAGACCGTGTCCTCACATGCAGTGCTAATATTAGGGTAAGTTTTACTTTAAAAGCATTTCCATTATAATCTAAGCATCATTCATGCTTCATGATTGAATTAATTCATCCAAGCATTCATGCTTGGATTGCATGATTTCATCCAAGCATTCATGCAATCCATAATTGCATGATTCATCCAAGCATTCATTCATCAAAGCATCATTCATGCAATCAATTAATTACATCGATTGAATGATGAAAGTTTTATAAACTTCACCATAAAAACAGGAGCTCAAAAAATGAAAAAATTGTTTGATTTGTAATACCTGTTTGATCTGTTTCTGAGTTTTCTTTGGAAGTTATAATTTATGGGAATAAATCTTTAGTTGAAATTTTATTCTGTATTAACTGAAGTTCAGTATATGTTTTAATTAATTTGTGACAGTGGTAAGTCGCTTGTGCGGGGTAAAAATACACAATGTAAACGAAGATAATTTAAGCAAAATCTTAAATATTAATTTATGAAGCATCAGAAGTTACCTGACGAATGAAAACAAGATTCTCGGAAAAATAAATGTCCTCCATCATTTAACCACATAAGTATTTTTTCTAGCAAAGAGATGCATTCTTGATCACTCAAGTACATGAATAGCCAGTTGCTGAATACGACATCATACCTGCAATAAATATGAAATTCAGAGATTGAGACAATTAAACTCTCAAGTTAATATTTTATTTAATACAGTGAAAACCTTTCGTAGAGACCCTCTAATTTAAGACTATCGTCCTTGTATATTTCTGAAAATGTAATTGGATAACAGTATTGAACGTCGTTAATGGATATGTTCTCCAAGGCGGTTCTTTCTATGGAACACCAAAATCATTTGGTACCGTGAATGGCCTTAGAGTGAATTCAATCTATATATAACTCCTTTCTTTTTCTTGCTTTTTCACCGTCCTTACGAAAAGAACTAAGAAAAGATTTTTAAACCAGAGAATTGAATTATCATGTAGAATAACTGTATTATTTAGCTTAATCTTAGGTTGTTGGATGAAGTGATACTGAATTAAACAGACGTCCACAGAAATATTATAAATTCATCCCTTCCACTAGTATTAGACTTTAATATTCAATTTTTTTTTCTTTCATTAAGTGAATAATTTGAGTTACGAAGAAAGTTAACAAGAAAACTTCAAAATTTTAATTAGTATGAAAACAGCAATTTGTTTTACTTTCTGAAGCAATACCTCTTTAAGAGATGCTATAAAGACTGAATAATATTTAATAAAAATTGTATATATATATATATATTAATTCAAAAATGGGGGAAAACTTCAAATTTCAGAAAAAATACTGTACGTACCGTCTTGTTGAATCACTCTTTCACTTAAACTCGAAAACGTATGTAAATGTATAAGTAATTAGGATACGAAATAGTCATGTTCAAGAAAATTATTTGCTAGAACTGAAAAGATTGTTGTTATTGATAAAAATTATTATTTTCCGTCAAACCTCGTGGTAAGACATACAAAGAATTAATATAATTATTTAGTTTTTATCACGTTTTTTTCTTTTTCTTCCCTTTAATGCATCGAAATTAAGCTTTGATGAAGAAATATTAGAACGATGACTTCTGTTTGTTTACGACATTCTATTGTACTGAATGAGGTAATTTTGGAGGAGCAACGAAGCTTCTCAGGAAATTGCACTTGCGAATTTCGTAATTTGTTGTAACTGAAGTTGCTGTAACAATTCCCTTTCAAAGTGCAATCATCTAATCTCTACATATAATAAAAGAAAGAGTCTGTGTGTCTTTCGTTCGTGCTGCGCGTAAGCTAATAGACCCAGGGCTACGAAATTTGGTACATAGGTGCATCTAGACAAGAGCCAGTGCACCTTGAAGCGATCAAAATTCGAATCAGACTTTTTTTAATTTAATCTTTTTTGATGAAACAAAACATGGCAACAGTTTTTCATTCACTGTTTTGAATACTGGACTGCTGACTGTTTTCTCTTGAGAATATGAGATTTATTGCTTATTTCATCTAAATTTTTTTAATATGCCATACATTTTTATTGATTTTTTTTATAAAGTTGTTCTGCAGAGTAAAATTCTGTGCCGGTTTTAAATTTAATGTCTGGTGTTCCCTTTAGGCATTTTTACGGTTCATTTAAAAGCCAGACGAAGGCTGGCCGTATATTTGCTAATATTAACATAAGACATAAAACTTTACGTAAAACAGTACACAGTTATTTTCACAGTTAAGTGGGCATAAAACAAAGCATTAAATAAAACAGTATCACAGTTTAAATTATCTTAACAATTGAGTGGACTTAATTTTAAGGATTATAAGAGCGTGAGAAGTCGCAAAACTTCAGCTCTTCGGATCCTCAAGTGAAACGAGCCCCAGTACTTCTGTAATAACTGAATCACAGTGCTAATATAAAATATATATTATGTTTCAATATTTTATTGAGCAGATAATAAAACTTGTAACCAATCCTTTAACATAAACTGTTGGAATAGACTACCTGTGCAGAGAAGTACTTCAGTAAAAGCCAAGTGTCTAATCTGACAGGTTATATCAGACTCTTGCTTTGTAATTTTCTTAAAGTTAAATGTAATGTCCGTGTATAACTTAAACCTGTTAATAAATACTTGTTACACTATACAGGACTTTTCTATGACCCTATCTAAAACGACCCTCTCACAAACTGATGTAAATGATAGTTACTGAATGCTTACATCATTAACTTTGGAAAGAACACTATTTGCTGCGAAAGCTTAAACAGTTGAGAATGAAAATCATCTAGTAATGAAGATTGTGAATATAGTATTAAAAAATAAACTAATATGCAATTTTACCTAACCTTGAAGAATATTGCCCAATTTATTCGCCTTTCTTTTATTCTCCATGCCATACCTTGCTACTACTCATTGAAATAATTTTCATTTATTACTGGCGCTCTTCTTGGTGGAATTTTGTTCCACTCGAGGTTTTAACTTTTCGTCATCTTTGGAGTCTGGTTGAGGTTGGCGTCGACGTAATGTTGTTCCTTCGAGTGTTGGGGTGTGGAATAGTTGATTTAATAAAGGTTTTCATCAAGTTTTGAATAAGTAAACCCTTGTTTGTACTTTGTGAATTTGACAGTCCATGTTAGTAAAGAAATTAAAACTTCAATTTCCTTTTTGTCCGGAATCGCAGCATTTATGGTCTGATCGAGTCATTAAGTCTCATCGAGTCATTCCTGAATGCCTATAGATATAACGGCTTTAAATATAAGTTTGGGAAACATAAAGGTTGGTGTGTGCATATTCTGGCTCAAAACCTTAGAGGTTATACGAGCGGCAATATAAAGGCCCGATTAACCAAACTTTCGAAATTTGATTCTGAACATGTTCAGCAAATGGATAAATTCGATTTGAGCAATAAAACAGAAAATCTAAATCGTCTAGAAGATAAATTAATGAATTAAGAATCCAGTAATAGAAAGTATTAAAAGCTGAAGAAACGTGTTTGTGAAACTGATGAAGATTTTTAAAAGCAAAAGCCATGCAGGTATAAGAATTTTTTCTAATCTAACCAAATTGGAAAATTTGAACAAGAATGTATATTTTGAGGGTAAGCAGAAATTAAATCTTAAGTTTCCAGAAATAACTTTACCTAAATTTGATAGGAAAAATGTAATAATTTTAAAACTCAGTTCAATAGTATAATTACTTCTATTGATTTGTCATCTGATAACCATATAGTGTTGCGTGGCCCCAACTTGTCAGCAACTATGGTAGTGACTGCTATGAACTGTAAATTACACAAACTCGTAAGAAGGGTTTTAAGCCCTTTTTATTCCACTTTAGAAATAACAGCTGCGTTCACTTGACGCTCACAAACTACGCCACCCAGCGGTTTAACAAAACAGAAATGTGAAACTAAAAATAAACGACAGGATGAATAAACAACTAGATCACTACCTACGAGGCTCTAAAACCGTAACTAAACCGCGTTCTAAAATACAGCTGAGATTCAGCAAGCTTACTGATTAAGCAGTTGAAAGATTCAACGAACTGCCGAGATAGGCACACCGGCCGAAACGCGCGGTTCTTAAATTTCTACCTAGCAACCTTCACGCTCGCGATTCAAGAAGCACACATACAATCTCGTTTCCCTTCTATTTAAACTCAATTTACTTCTTCTAAAATTTGAATAGACTGCGCGTTCTACTACAATTTACATACTCTGGCATTGGCAATTCTAGGGAAAAGTAAATTGCATCTAACTTCATTAATTAAACGCACTTTTCAGTACACCAGAATTCCAAAAATCCGAACCAGCTAGGATCTGGATATTAAAAAGATCCGGACAATGGGGGGCATGTTTTTTTTTACATTTATTTTTATAAATAAAATGCCTGTATTTTCACTGTATTAAAATTTAAGGAAAGAAATCAATTATTTTTAACAGAAAACAAAACGCATGAGACCAATTTTTTTTTCGATTAATATTAAGCTATAGCTCTGTAGAGTCATTAGGTTCTTTTAGGTAAAATTTGCTATTTACTTGTCTTTTTATTATTTTAATTTAATTGCTGTTTATAGTTTATTTTAGGTTTACATACATAATTCATGTAGGGGAAGTTTCCTGTAAGCAAGAGTTTCTAAATTACTTTGGTTTTTTAAAGAGTTTCTAAATTACTTTGGTTTTCTAAAGAGTTTCTAAATTACTTTGGTTTTCAAAAAAATTTGGTTTTCTACTCATAATTGACTTTTTATTCATTTAATTACTTTTAACTCTAGTCATTTGCTTGCTATTCTCAAAATTCCACTGTTTAAATTTCTCTTTTTGTAATTCACAGCATTTGATTTTGCTTTTAGTTTTAAGTTTTACTTTTACTCTTGCCTATATGGATGACGAAACACGAATTGAGTAATTGAAGAGTTAGATATGGGGGCAACTTCTTCCCCTTGATAAGTCTGTCTTCTGCTTGTTCAACAAATTATTCACTTATGCAATTTTTAGTAATAATAAATTTAATTTACTTTTTCATGGTTTTAGATAAGTGCAATTAATTTACATATGATCTTAGAATTTAAATGATATTGTAAATTAGTTCGCAGCAATAATGATTATTTTTCTTTTTATTTCTTTGCAATTAAAATTTCTTAATTAAATTTAAATTTTTAATTTTATATTTGCTTTATACCAATAGAAAATATTTGTTAAATTACAAAACGTCTAAAAAATGTGCGAGCAGACTCTGTATTATGTTGTTCATATGACGTTTATATGTTCATGTAGCTGTATGTTGTTGTTTCATAAGTCTATCAGTATAATGATGTATGAAATTGTCTAACGTGTTTTGACTTAAAAATTTCTTAATGATTGAAATGTTTATTTTACCTGATGTAATGTCTATTCGTCTTTACAACGGGGCAGGATGTTGGGCTGTTCTTGGCTCGATTCTGTTCCACTCGAGTCATAGAGGGAGGATTATTCTTACCTTCATGACTCGAGTCGACTTTTAGTCAACTCAGTAGTCTGGTTGAGATACGGCTCTATGTAACGTGGATCCTTCGAGTGCTTTTGAATGAGGTAACAGATGTAATAAATGTTTTAATACAATTAAATACTAACTGCATGGTTGAATTAAGTATGTAAACTCTTGTTTGTTCCTTGTGAACTTTACGGTCCATTAAAAGAATTTAAACGTCAGTTTCGTTTTCGTATGGAATTGCAATTATCTGGAATTATATATTTTACTATATTTATATTTTTATATATTTTACTATATTTAATTTGTTATTAATTTATTCACTTTTATTTTATTTCATTTCGTTTCATGATATTTTATCTACATATTTATCGTTGACTTAGTTTATTATTAAAATTGTTATCTGCTCACATTTTATTATTTTTTAGTTATTAATTATTTCTTGTTTTATTTATTATTATTTTATTCATTTATTGTCTTCACTGTCCTTGACAGTCTACCACATAGGTGGGGAACCTGCGGCCTCCGCGAGGTTCTTGTGCGGCCCTTTGCCACCTAGTACAAAATGGTAGAGTTCTTTTCAAACAACTATTGTACATCAACGCCATGACAGTTGCGCGAAAAATCCCGCCAAAGACAGTCATATTGTAACATGACGTCAGAATACTAGTCTGAAACGGACTCTAACACGCATGAGCGAGGCTCTGGCCCACAGCTAGCAGCGCCAACTACCTTGTCTAAGAAGTAAACAAAACTCGGTTTCAGATCTCCCATTTGAGTGTCACACCTTGCTTTGGCTTCTCTGACTCGCATCTCTCAACGCTTCCCTGTTGCGATCTTCAGCTAACTGTTGTTAACAGTGCGTTCTTATAACAGGTACACGGTTTTATTGTATTTCTAGAAAGTACACACTTTGTTAAAGATATTATTTGATATTCGTTTTTTTTATCCATCGTGTCAAATAGTAAGAGAAGAAAATTAGGTGATGAAAACAGAACATTTAATGTAGAATGGGAGTTAGATTTTTTCTTACTGCTGAGAAAGATAAAATGATGTATTTGTTGTGCAATACAGTTTTAAATACTTTAAAAAAAGCGAATGCAAATAAACACTATTTGACTCATAAAGAACATAAATATTTCGCGTTAGAAGGTGAATCACGAAAAGCTGCACTTCAAAATGAAAAATGAGAAGCATCATCAGCAGGCATCTTTTAGTGCCTTTGTAAATCAAAATTCCGCTGCAGTTCCTGTTACGTATAAAATAGCACATATACTTGGAAAAAGGAGCAAACCATTTAGTGACATTGAAATAATTAAAGAATGTATTCTTGAAGCAGTGAGTATGTTAGATCCAAGAAATGACGACAAATACAAACAATTACCTCTTTCAAGAAGAACTGTAACAGAGCGACAGCACGAATTAGCGCAAAATGTAACAGAGCAACTTCATGCAATTATACAAAATGAAGATGTTTATTTTTCAATTGCTTTAGATGAAAGCACTGATAAAACAGATTCGGCACAAGTTTTATATTTTATTCGTGCTATAACTAAAGACTTTCAATGTTACGAAGAACTACTTGCGTTGGGTACACTAACTGGAAGAACTCGCGGAGCCGATATTTTCGAAAACTTCAAAGAAGTATGTAATAAATTACAATTGAATGTCAGTAATTTAGTCAGTGTCTGCACCGATGGCTCACCTTCCATGAGAGGCAAAAAAGAAGGATTCGTTGCTTTGTTAAAAAAGGAAAACTTAAATTTGAAAAAATTGATATCATTTCACTGCATTTTGCATCAGCAAAATCTTTGCGCAAAATCTACCATTTTGCAAGACACTCTGGATAGAACCATTGCCATTGTCAACTATATTCGCGTAAATAGAATGCGTCATCGTGAATTTCGGCAGATGATCTCTTTAGATGAGGAAACGTATAGTGTTGACCTGCCATACTACTGCAAGGTTCACTGGCTATCAACAAGTCAGGTTTTGATAAAAGTTTTGTCTTTACGACGACAAATTTCAAACTTTTATAAAGAACAAGGAAAACAATGTGATCTATCAGATGAAGAATTTCTCAGAAACCTTGCAGTTTTGTCTGATATGATGACAAAACAAAACAATTTAAATATTTGCCTGCAAGGTGAAACGAGGTATATTTATGAAATGTGGCAAAAGATCCAAGCGTTTAGAAAAAAATTATCATTTTTCAAAACATTGCTTTGTCAATCGGAAATATCTGCACAACACTTCCCGGAGCTAGCTAAAATGTTAAATGAGCAGAACTGTGAAAATAAAATATTCGATGAATATGTAGGTGTCTTGGATTGTTTAATAGAAGAGTATACTAATAGATTTTCTGATTTTGACGAGCACACTCCTGCTATGAAACTGGCATTTGAACCACATTTAATAGATATATCCGAGGCTCCTGCAGAACTACAAATGGAGTTAATTGATTTAGGGGAAGATAGTATCATCAAATCCCTTTTTAACGCTAAAAAGGATCTCATAGAAATCTGGAAAAATGCTGTTGAATATCCATGCCTTCGAGAACGTGCTCGCCGTTTACTTTCCTGCTTCGGAAGTACCTACTTTTGCGAGACAACATTTTCTCTCATGTCAAAAATAAAAACAAATTTAAGAACGCAAATTACAGATGCACATTTAGAAGATCAATTAAAGCTGTGTGTTACGAAGCTTGATCCAAATATACAATTACTGTCAAACAAAAAACAAAGCCAAATAAGTCCTAACTTAGTGAATAAAAAATATTTTTTATTGTATTTTTTTATAATATTTTTATATTATTTTATATGTATATTATATTTAAAATTTTGTAGTATTATATTTTATTTTTTCTATATAATGCAATAAATTGTTAAATCTATAGAAAAACTATAATAATTTCACAAAAGTCACTTTCTTAGGTCAATCAGCTTATGCGGCCTCTCTTATTGCTGCCTAATTTAAATGTGGCCTCTAATGGTAAAAAGGTTCCCCACCTCTGTACTAGTATATGAGATAATTTTATATATGCTGAAAACAAAGGGAATTATGCAAAAATGCTATAAAATGCTGTGAAACGAGATATAAAATAAATAATGATAAAAAAGTAAGATGGAAGAAAAAGAATTGTAAAAAATATAAACAAATATCTATACAAATTTACAACAATGTAAAGGACAAGAGAACATTTTGCCTTACAATAAGAGAAGGCTTCCTATTTGAATTTTCTTGTTGTATTCAAGTATGTAATGCAACACGCACACATACGTGTTTTTATCTCATTCATTAAAACTGCATTCATCTTCCAGCCAAAAGTATTATATTTCTTATGAATTTTCAACTTGCAACATTGCTTATACATTGTTAAGAATTCAAACTTTTAATATAAAATAAAATAGAAGCAACAAGCACGCATAATTTCAAAAAGTAGTTTTAAGCTTTTTCAAAAAGTAGTTTTAATATAGATTTTTTTTTTCTTACTTTTTAGGTGGCATTTCGAGGTCCAGGACATCAGTGGCTATATAGTTAATATTAGGCAGATGGCTGTGTGTTTGTTGATTAACATTTATATAATCTTGCATAAAATCCACTGCTGTTACATGAAAAGCTGCGCTAGCCAGAAGTCCTGTGTATCGCCTAAAAATATATGTTCTGTGAGATCAATTAAAAAAGAAATTTTCATAAAAGGCAAGAAAAACGAAAATCAGCGAAAGAGAACAGGAGGGAAGAAAAAAGAAACAAAAAGGAAGGAAATAAAATTGTCAGTTCCTTTTTTTACTTAAGGAAAATAAGTGTCAGGAATAAATTATACTTAAAACACAATATTACAAATACCTGATATTCTCATTACGGAGTTACCTGGTTATCTTTTCCTTGACTTTTTCATTGTTATTAAGAAACTTCCCAGCAAATATCGAGTATTAACTTCCACTCCACCCCCTTCTCTCCAAAGAAAAACGTTTAATCAAAGATATGTTTTTGTAATAAAATATTTTACGTTTTATGAATACGACGCTTATTATTGTGTCAAAGATTTGTAATTCTGCTTCAACTTTCTTTACGAATTATAAAAATTTTTATCAGCATACTGAAAATCAAAGAGTATTTAAACAGCTTAATGATATTTCTGACGAATCCAAAAGTTTGAGAATAATGTTTGTTGGCTATTCATTTTTAATATAGGAGAGCGCATGCGATTTTCAAAGACTGTTAAGTAATATTGTAATCGTTCTTCTATAAACACAAACGCCGGCTAGCTTTAAACGTATTTATTGCCAGAGCAGAGGAACAGTTACAAAGAAAGCATGCATCAAAATAGAACATACACTAAAACAGAACGCCTAACATTTAGAATTAACATTAGAATAATATTGTAGAACCTATCTTCATCGCAATTGGAAGTTGACTGGCTGTAAGCTGTTCGCGTTACCACTAAATGGCGCTCAATAAAACAATTCGGTTACATCCAAATAGTTCTCTTACAATATTATTTTAAAAATATTAAATTTCAGTAATAAATTAAATATTTATTTTTAATATGAGTCATCGTTTCATTTCAAAGACCACTCCAGAAATTCCTAGCTGATGAAAATATATTAATCTACTTTCATTGTAGCGACCACCCATTATAATTCCCTTTTTCTTTAGGATACAGGTTTCGTTAGACAGTCACTGTGATACAACGTGCGCCAGCTGTAAATACCAGGTGCTCCAAAAGTCGGTTAACATTTGAAAATTTAATATTTCACAGAATAATGTAAGTAGAGAGATAAGAATTTTGCATAAATGCTTGAAATGGCATGGTTTTCTATTGTAAACTCTAACTAAAAGAATGTAACTAAGACAGTTCAGCAAGAAGTATAAACTATAGCAATTTCCATCTATAAATCAGCATAAAATCGGCGCTCCTGAAGTAGTATCGGCATTCTATACGGCTGTGGACTCAAAATCAAACTGCATGCAGATTGAATACCCGAATTAAAAAGAACTGACGAGACAGATTTTTTTAAGCAAAATGAAACCTTTTTATCCGCAAATTAAATTAATTTTATTTTGATTTAAATTTCGCTAACTGAATTTTTATCAAAGCATACATGCGCAATAATAATGCAAATAAAATTATTTTATTTTCTATTTGAAATCTGATGTTTGGTACCTGCAAGACATTTTTGTTGGTTGCAGTTTTCTAGTTAACCTATATTGGTAATTTAATATGCTTATTTGAAGCTGATATTTATTTCAAATAAATTTAATATTAAACCTAATATATTTAATAATTGAAACTATAAGTAAAACAAATAGCAAAATTTTTTGTGAATTTTCAGAGGCAAAATTTCAGGATACATAATAATAACCTATCTTTTTCTTATTAATTATATTTTTTTCTAGCAAATAAATTAAAATGCATGTATATGTGTTTAAATAATTATAGACTTCTTGCTCCAGCTAATTATTTGATGGCTTTTTGATTTTGGTAAAGTCTGTAGTCTTGAAGAAAAATTACTTCATTACGGATTGTAGACTCTCATCCATCAATCGAGTTCTTAATTTTCAACTGTGAAAAACGTTATTCAGATATTAATGTATACCAAGGCAAAGAAATTATTCTTAATGCAAAAATTTGTAACTGAGTGAGTACACGTAAAAGTTAATGAAATATGTATCTTCAAATCTTTGCAATCATAGAAAATGTTTAACTCTATGTAGAGATAAATGGCTTATCGCTATGTATAAATAACAACAGAAATTTGAGAAAGGTGTATAAGATTCTTTTATTTAAAGCTAAATAGATGAACAAGAGGCACTCCTGTTGCTTACAAATCCGCCAAACGTTATGGCGTGAAACTTAAAAGTTGTAAGTCGAGTGTAAAGCTAAATTCAAATAAACTAATAAGCAAAGGGTACACTGAAAATTAAATGCGAAGTTGTCTCAGAACTTCACCTGCTTGAATTTCAAATATCCGCAATTATAATGACAGAAACTCGTATTTTGAATAGCAAACCTAGCAACGTGGCCTTCAAGAGACAGAACACGCTCTGTCTTAACAATCTCATTACCACCTGAAATAAATAAATAAATGCACAATGTTTAATTGTGTGCATTTATTTATATGTAAATAAATAACTGCTCAAAATTAAACATAATATAATAAAAAAAAACTAACTGTAAATGATGATCAGCATATCAGCTTAAATTACGTAAAAGCAATTTTCTGTCTTCTCATTTCTGTGCTCTTTAAACGCCATGGAAATGAACAGGGAAAAACTAAGAACGGAAAAAATCCCTACTACATGATTTATGTTCCATCCGTCCTATTTCGTCAATAAATCAGTACGAATAGCGCATGCATGTTTGTACTTATGGTTGCGGATAAGGTGGTCGAACTATTCCATATATTTCCGATTTCGTGCCGATCCATACGTAAGCCGAGAATGTATTTTTTACTTTCAGATTTACCCAAAATTCAAAACCCATATTATATAGCCGAAAAGAAAGAAAATTCTGCAACATGCAAACCCTTTGCCAGGCAGATTAGAAAATACGAACTGAAGTAGATCGTATTTTCTAATCTAATTGTTGTAAAGTAAAACGCCAGCTGCCAACAGTGGTAGTTTAACTCTGGTAACTCTATTTGAAACCCTCCCTAAATACATTCGAACTCATTTGCATTCTGACGGAAAACGGGAAGAGAGAAGTGTCATCGTAGATTCCAAACATAAAATAACTAGTTATTCAAATTAAAGGAAACCTCAACAAGATTTATATCACACTATAAATCGAAGCTTCATTTACAGAGTTTCTTTGAAGCGGTACATATACAAAATTCATGCTAATAATATAAAATTCAGCGTTATAAGCTGTTAACAGCCGATTTTGTGGAGCAGGAAACATTTGCATTATGAGCATTTAAAAAATGGATGAAGATGATAATTGGTTGTCCAACGTGTTGTGGACCGACGAAGCGAATTTCACATTCCGCGTTCTGTCAACTCCTACAACTGCAGAATTTGGGCTACCGAAAATCCTAGAGTTGTTTTCAAATCTCATTACGGGAAGAGAAAGTCGTGATGTGGTATTTAAGTATTTCAGAAAGTCGTGATGTCGTGAATTAAATAACGCATCATTTAATTCATCAATTCTCCTGGTGAGGACCAAGTTGTTGCGTAGAGCATCTCGAAGCAAGTACCGCCAAGGTCTTCTATGAAAGCTCAGCGAAGACCAAGAAGGACAATCGATAAATTTTCTGACCAGCGTGTGTATGATGATACTTTAAAGCGCTTACTTAAGAGTTCTGTGAAATCGTTGAACCAATCCTCTGCTAGATGGGTGATATGGGGAAGTTCGAATGCAGCTAATTTCTAAAATCTTGTTAAGCCAAGAAGTTAAGCGAGATTTGAATTGTCGCTCTTGGTCCATAGTTTAATTTTGGGTACACGGAATTTTGAGTGTATAATCAGCGTATAACGAAGGTGTGAGCGAATGTCTGCACGAGAGTGCCCAATTCAATGTTTTTTAACATTCCTAACCACACAAACCATTCTGGAATAAGTTTACGGGAGACACTAATGCTTGGATGGGATAAACAATGGAGGTCTGTAAAGACTGAGTAGCATAAGTTCTTTGCAATATATTGTCGATCAACATCACAGTTCAGTTTTAAACTAGGACACATTTCCAAAATTTGGAACTGAAGTGATGTAACAGGTTTGGCAAGTACTTCAGATAACTGGGTATCTTTGGCCTGCTCCCCATAGTGGAAAAGCCGGTTAAAGCTAGGTGGATCTCATTTATCCGTGATAATGTGTCAACCACAATATTATTGGATGAAGTAACATGTCTAATATCCGTACTGAACTGTGATATGCCGATATGCAGCCTATGTGCCTGAGTTGCCAAGGTGAACTTAAATAAGACCTATTTGAAAACGGGAGGTCAAAGTTTTATGGTCCGTGTACATTATTAAATACCTTTCCTGCAAACTATGTAGAAAGCATTTTACAGCCGAATAGGTAAACAGAAGCTCTCTGTCTCAGGTGTTCTACGTTTGCTCTGTAACTCTCAGTCTACGCGAAACGAATGCTAGAGGTTGCAAGTCTCTACCATTTAATAAATTTAATACAGCGCAGTTAGCAATGTTAGAAATATCGGAAGTCAAGAATAACTGTTGATGGGGATCATGGTAAGCAAGAGTTGCAAAATTCATAAGGTGAGATTTACAGGCTTCAAATGCTTAGGTTAAAGCATCGTCCCAAGGAACCAGCCATTTGTCCTTTTTTTTAGGCTTTTAGCAGTTCGTATAAGGAAGCTTGGGTTTTGAAAGCGCTTGCGATGAAACAACAGTAGAAATTAAGCATTGTCAAAATTCTTAATTTTGTAATTCTTTCAGGTTTTGGAAATTTTACCATCCAGCTATGGCGGTTTTACCCTAGTAGGTGTTAATATGGCATATCATGAAAGTCACAGAGGATTTTCCTAAATCACATTTAGCTGAGTTTACTTTATATAAATGCTGTCTGAGGCGATCTAAAACTTGCCTAAGATTGCTCTCGTGTTTCTCATTTGACGATGCGATTAGAATATCATCCAAATAGGGCATACAGAAATCTAGGCCACCAACACCCTCTGATAAGTCTGTCCTGCGTTACGGAAACCAAATGGAGTAAAACGAAATTCAAGTAAACCGAATGCAAGGAAAGTACAATCCAAGCTTTGCTTCCAGGTAGGAAAGTCCAGTTTTGCGATAGTGTATACAATGCAAGAAACTGACTTCTAGAAACTATATTCTTTGCCTCCTGACAGAATAGAACGAGTTGCAGCATTTCGAGAACTAGTGCAGATATAGCTGGATATCTTCTCCTACGTAGAGGAGGTAAAGCGTGGATCGTACTTTTCACTTGTGCTGTCTATAGAGCAGTTCATCTACAGCTAGTTTCCTCCCTGTTCAGCGAAGCATTTATGCAAGCATTGCAAAGATTTTCGGCAAGAAGAGGAAGATATTTTACTCTTTATATTGATAGTGGTTTGAATTTTACGAAAACGCAAAAGCTTTGAAATCTCTGGACTGGGATTATCATTAAGACGAATTCCTTTAATTAGCGCATTCCCTTTATTTTCTGACAAACTTTCTCTTCCATTGTGAGTTTAAACTTTAATATGACAGAATATATTTATGTCCTTAAACACAACTGTTTCTAAGTAGAAATTTATATCAACTTGAGTTATCTTTCACTAAGCTCAGCTTTTCCACCATCACCACACTTTAAAAATTTTGTTTGCATGAAAATAAGTAAGCATGAACTCTTTCAAAAATACGTCAACTGTAATCTTCTACAAAACCATTACATTTCTTAAAAATTTATATCTAATGAAAGACATCAATAATATAATATTAATAGTACTTTTAGTTATTAGAATTTTGCTTATACATGTAGAATAAGCAAAATTTTATGAAAAGTTGAATTTCTCATTTTATGGAATATTAGCTAAACGTTGCCCCTCCGAAGGAAACATTCAATTCATCACAGTATATCCCGCACCTGAAAATCTCATAACTATTTTATCATTGGCAGACCTGCAATTTCAAACATTAAGCTACATGCAGTTTGGAGGTTTCTGATGTAAAATGTGGGCCCCTTTATGCAAATTACATTATAATATTCCTCAATATTTTGTCAAGATAAAAAATGTCGAGGAACCTAGTGAACTAAGTAGCGAATTATCGCAGAAGGTTTAAAATACCCTTTTATTCATTCAAAGAAATAATAGCAGATGGTCCCTTCTCGGGCTTACAGGAAAGCCTCCACTCGAGCTTTTAAATCAGGACAAGAAAATAAGAAACTAATCTTATATTAAACTAAATCGACTTCGCCGAAGCTAGACACACATACCTAACGTAGTTACACCTAACGTACACAACACCTAACGTAGTTGGTCCTTAAATTAACCTAACCGGCGATTTTCAACAGGCACATACAACACGACCGAGCGTAATAAATTCAAGAACGAAGTAGCCAGCAGGCAAAAACGCGCCACGTAGGACTCCTAAGCACTCTCTCTCGAAGTAAATTGAACTTTCCTTTAAACACTTCCTCTAACTCATAACACGGCCGAGCGTAATAAATTCAAGAACGAAGTAGCCAGCAGGCAAAGACGCGCCACGTAGGACTCCTAAGCACTCTCTCTCGAAGTAAATTGAACTTTCCTTTAAACACTTCCTCTAACTCATATACATTCAACGTGATTCTAAAAACTCATTCTGCAGAGAGTTTCATTCTGGTAGTAAGTGGAAAACAAGAATTGAAAGAAAGGGTTTCAGAATTAAAAATGACTGTTATAAAATTAAAATACGCCTTACAACATTACACTTATAGTCCAAATAAAATTTTCACATTTTCTTACTTTTCGTTTCAATTCAAATGCATTCTTTCCCGTGAAATTAGAATCTTTAGTACTTTTATTGTTACTTTTACTGTCAGCAAATTCAGACACTGCTAGTAATAATTGCTATGACACTCACCCTATGCCAGCGCCAAGTTCAAGCACGTGTTTTCCCTCTAAATTGGGTAATAAACTGAAAATTTCTTCTTGCTCATCCGTATGGATGATTGTTGCTGTCTTGTCTAGCATCATACTTTCGATAGAAGGATCAAATTTCTGCCAATATTCTTGCATCCGCATTCGCGTAGCTGCAAGAAGAAAAACAAAAGTTCAATATATTACTGGTAGTGGATCAGATATGAAGAAATGGACAGTTTGGGTAACATTAATATACGTATTCATTTTCAAGTAATTGACAAGACATATCCTCCAGCTACCTTCAATTTAACAACTGCATAGTTTGCTAGAAAGAACACGATAACGAAGCATAATTTGTCATAAAGATCTGTTTTCTATTCTGTGTATAACCTCTTAAGGTGTCTATTGAGTAACCCTTTCTGTTTCCAGTCTATTTTTAATTCTGTAACCTCATGTTTGTTTTCTATCTATGTATATAACCCGTCTATAAAACTGCTTTTTCGAGGCTTGTTCGCTGTCAATGCTGGAAGCTTCATATAGCGTACTTGGAAAATTCCAAATTTAAATATGTTTTATGAAATTTAGAGAAGTTCTACATTAAAAAAATATTATATAGCTGCTATGAAACCATTAATGCACAGGGCAACGTTTTTTGTTATTCCCCACCAGTGGCCAAACACCAGAAACAGCGGAAGCACTGCTAATTTTTCTGGAACTTCTTTCTCAGAGAAGGAATACGTTGCCTACATGGAGCTTTCATTATTTTTCTAATGTGTAATATAAAATTCACATCATTGATGGATGAATTTCCCCGGCTATGCAAATATCTCTTAAATGTTTTCTTGTAATACTTCAATCTTCCCGTTTGGTTAGTGTGATATACGAAAAGATAATGAAATGGGCATCAATGAAAAAAGTAAATTGTTAGATGTTTTACTAAATTCTACCATGAGAGGTACTATGGTTTCGGTATTTACACATGGTGTCGTTAAATAAAAGAATAAAAAGTTTTCCTAGTTTCCGTTTTAAGCACTTCTAATTTAAACACTGAGGTATATTTTAACATTTGGAATATGATATGCATGTTGGCCTATTAAATGTAAGGCAACATCTTCGCAAACTATGCATAACACGATAAATACAGATTTCATTGAAGTAAATATTGGTATTATAATAAAAATAAATTTTACTTAAATATTAATACATAGCAACCTTGTGGGTGTTTACTTTAGTATGTTATCAGTTTGTAGAGACATTAGATATTTTGGAAGCAAAAGGGATTGAAAAATTAGCAACGCCTTCGCCGGGAATCGAACCACGGACCTCTGGAATACGCGCCCAGCGTGCAGACCACCACACCACGAAGCCATGCTAGGAAAGCGGGAGAAATACCTTATAAGTTAAAAGAGATTGAGAATCACTTCTCTTTTTATTCTTATCAATTTTTATTAAAAACGAAAACACGGAATATATAGTGGCTGAAATTTGCTTTCGACCACTTGCATATTTGAAATTCATTTGCATAGATCTTGCACTAAATAATGAAACGCACATATCAAACATTTTTGTAATATACTATTTTCCCTCTAAGCGTTGCTTGTTGTAAAATAAATATCATCAAAATATTCCTCAGAATAAAATGATTTATTCAAAGTGTGCTAATTAATAACTTGGCTAATTAGTAACTCATAGTGATTTGAACCCTCTAAATTTTTGTTGAGATGTTTTGGTAGAAAATGTTTTTTGTGTAATTTTTCATTTTAAATCAAAATACCACACATTTATTATCGCCTGCATTTGGAAATTGTGCTTTTCTCCACATTACATTTGTGACCACGGTACAACGTTGCAGGAATGTCACATTGTGATGTGGATGTGAATGTCGCACAGATGTCATATACACGTCACAGCAAATGTTTAATGTGACCACAAGAAATTTCTCAGCTTCCCCCACCCTGACCTTTCTTGACTTACTCACGTAATTCTTCTGTTTAATGGGAGGCATTCTTGCGCGCTGACCTTGTTCTCCCGATTTATTGTGAAATGCTTCAATAAACTTTTCTACGAATAAATTATTTTTTACTATTTTTATATTAAAGAAATCACATAATCTATTTTTTTCAATTGAAAGTATACTAAGGAAAATGTTTCTTTAATTTCCGTACAGTAATAAAACAATAAAATCAGTACTAAAATACGTACAGATGCCTTTTTGACACGTTACAATTTGAAATCATTTCAGATTTTAATAAAGAAAATCAAATGAAAACTTTTACTAAAAACTTTTCCAGTATTATTTAAAGAAAAATGAAGTCTTTGAAAGAAAGTAGAGTATCAGAGCCTTGCCATCAGATTTTAATATCTGAAACTAATCTCATAACTGTGTTGTACAGTGTGGCTTTGTGTTGTACAGATTTATTTAGATTTAATTAACAATATTTTAAAAAGTAATGTCTTCATCTTAATGTCATTTAAAAAGTAATGTCAAAGTAATGTAATTGTAAAATATAATGTCTTCATCTTATTTAAATCAAGTCGAAAAACTAAATCACGTTTATGTTAAACGATAAGAATAGCAAGAATGCGTGTTTCTCATGTTAACCCATTTTTATTTTAAAACATAATTTCCAAATTCTTAACTTTCCTCTGTAAAATCAGTTTTCGGGGTTTTCCCCATGCGTAACGTGTATACGAGCCAGTTTTCATTATAACGTCGTCCACGAAGGCATCCTTTCCTTTAGGCCGATATCCCTTGCGTGCTTTGCCATAATTAAATAATCCTAATCCTCTGTAAAATCATAGTAAATTAATTCCAAATGCCCAAGTTAAAACATGGTTCTGATTTCTTTCTATGTTTGGAGAAATTTATGACTAGCAAAGAATCATTATTGATTTTTCTCGCTTTTCTATAAAGTTCATGCATCTCTAGTATGTTTCTCGGCAATAACTGCTTCATTTTTAATAATATTGTTTAATTTCTTTTCAATTATTATATATTGATTATTACTGCAGTCATTCAAGTCAGTATACTATAAGCGTTTGTTTACTTCCCCATATGTGTTGATTAAAAAAAGGAACTTGTAAAGTTTATCTGATAAATAGCTGAGTTTCATTCAGTTTACTGTATGAGCTATTAACAGTAATTAAGCATTGATATGAAGGTTACAGTATAATGTATATTCTCAGAAGTAGGTAATACACATTTTCCTAATTCAACTTTAGTAACAAGGATTGTTTTATGAACTGGAATTATTAATCCATGAAAATTTGTTATGGTTTTGCATAATAAACTGTGTAATACGATATTAAAATTAATCTCTAATTGTTAAGGGAACAAAAAAATGCGTTTAGGAAATGCAGAACTATTTAAAACAAGTTATTCACAGTAATCATCAAATGAAACAAATTATAAGTTATGTTTACCTTAATACAATTATTTAAATATATTGAAGCTGTACAGTATAAGAGGGTTATTTTAAATTTATAGCATAAAAATCTCATAAAATTATAATTTGTCGATGGAGAAATAATGGTGATAGAGAATGCCCGTTTGTATAACTGATGTAAATAAATATAAATATATAATTTCTGTAATTTAGTTTCCAGAACCACGTTTTCGATCTACTGATTTTGTACCCATAACTATTCGTTCAGAATTACAGATAAAAAACAAATCGCTAATTTGAAAATTAAGATTGTCGTTAACTAATTTGGAAGTTCTGATTGTGTTGATTTACAAGAGATTTTAATTCAAAACGAAACATTTATTTATATAACAAAATATTGAAATAGATAAACGTCCTATAAATTTAGTACTGAAACGGTTTTTCTTTCATCTAACTATCAAAAAAATTTAGCTCTTTTTCTGGAAGAAAAGCAATTAAGAAAGAGAGAAATTAAGAAGAGAAAACAATGTTAAAAGCTAAACAATTGAAAAATGTATTCCAAGCCAAGTAGATTTTTTTAAAACTATTTCAGTTTAGAGAAAGAAGGGAAAAAAGGTATTAAATTAATTAAGAAATATAGTTATTATTATAAGAAAAACAGTTATTATAAATATTTGCAAGCCAAAGAGTTTTTTTTTTTTTTTTTACTTCCTTGTACGAAGTAAAAAGGAAGTATTGTAATCGCGAAAAGTTTCAAGCAGCATATTTCAACGAAAATATCCATTTTGACCGCTATCGAATGCAATTTAACGATGTTTTTGCGTGATATCTGTACGTAAGGACAGAATAAAATACTCTTTTCCTTCAAAAAAATTATAAAACTGCTTTAAAATTAATTCTGAAGATAATTTTTCGTGGCGTCTGTACGAACGTATGTACGTACGTATCTCGCATAACTCAAAAACGAGTAGCCTCAGAACGTTGAAATTTTGTATATAGGACTGTTATAACATGTAGATGTGCTAAACTAGAAGAGAGACACGCTAATGTGACAATCAAAATCGCGTATTTAGCGTAAGTATAATGAAACAATCGATTTCGAGGGCAGCTAAAGGTCCCTCCTCATCAGGAAAAAGAAATACCTAGAAAGAAGAAATTAAAGGAGAAGGAGTCTCAACACGTGGTCCTTATCAGCACAGCACGTGGTTATAACTGGATTTTTAATCAGAGTTGCACTGGCCGCCTACTTTTACTGAGCCAGGCTATCTGATCAAGCATAAAGGAAAAGGAAAATTAGCGAAGTTAAAATAGGGAGCGATGGGCAAATGCACCTTCACGCTCAAAATCTGAACTTCAAATAATGGAAAGCAACCACTGAACGGATTTTTATACCCTCTGGTAATACCAAACGCGAGGAGGTAACGCCATCTATCGGCAAAAATAACTCAATTAAGATAGTAGAATTTTAAAGGCATTAGGAAGGACTGGATTGGACTTCAAATCATTAACTAAACCTGCTATATCTTTGTGAATGTGAAAAGCCTCGAGAAAATCCAATTCACCTATGGAAGAAGCCTTTTGGATAATTTTTGCAGACCCAAAGTCAAAATTATGGTTAAATGTCCAACTATGATACGCTATTAAAGACTTGTTAATTTCGCCTTTTCTGACATAAGATTCATGTTCCTTGATACGAAACTTCAATGCTCTTTTTGTTTGGCCAATATATCTGAAACCATTCTCATTCATTCTGATACTAATATCATTATCTCTAAAGCTGATAA